AACAACCTCCAAGCCCACTACTGAGCCTCTACCTTAATATTTGCTTCACTCTGTATTATTCTAGAGTTTGAAACCATAAACTCTCTGAAAGCCTTCTGCATCTCTGTATTCTCCACACCGCTTAGAATCATTTCTCTAATTCAGCATGTACTCAACACATACTTGTTAAACAGAGGAACAAATGCAATTTATGTTCAGGTGAATTTTATCAGCTGAACTATAAAAAAAAGAAAAAATACAGCTGAAAAATAGACTGGCATTTCACACAATTGATATAAATAAGCTTCAAAACTAAAATTTAAAGAGTTGTTTACATTTGAATGAGAGTTAACTGGCTAAAGATATATTTCAAGTTCAAAGCTAAAGTGTTGACAAACTACCTCTGGTCATTATCAGTTTAAGACGGAGACTTGAGCATGAACACTGCATTCCCTGCCACATCAATTCTCCAGAAAGGAAGAAAAATACATGAAAATAAATTATTCCATCATGTTTTTTAAAAAAGTTCCTAAGTAATCACTAGCAGTTTTACATAGTGGTTTCCTATTCCAAATCCTTATTCCAGCTTCCTCTAAGACTCTCTCCAGATTATGGCAGCTCCCTCCTCTCCTTCATAGCCTGTAGTTCACTGGGGGATCATGTTACCTGGGCGTCAGCAATGTCCACAAAGTTGTACTTGTCAGTGAGTTGGAGATAGTGAATGTTGAGAGGCGGGCCCAGAGCTTCCAGGGCCTCTGGACGGCTATGCAGCTGCTCCAATGCCAACTGGTAATAGGAAGCCCTGGAAAAATTTTCTAAGTGGGAAAGATAGTTGTTACATTTTTTTCTTTATTGAACTTGGTCAGGTAGGTTCTCTGTAGAAGTTAAATGATACAATTCATACATAGCATGGAAACAGATACAAAATCAAATTTGTGGATGTAAGAATTAGAAACCAACTATTCTAAACTGTCCATCTTAGAGACTCCAAAACCAAAGTTTACAGTCAAGATCTGTGGGGATGTGGCAGATAACCTTGGGCAAGGTACTTGATCTTTCCGTGTCTCAATTTCATCTTTCATTTCCTCACCTCATTTACTACCTCATTTCTTCATCTAAGGAGTCTGATCTAATCTTCTCTAACATTCCTTTTGGTTCTAAAGTCCTAGGATACCAAGACTTGCTCAAAGTGACACTGCTAGTTCAAGGCAGAGCTGGGGCCAGAATCTCTGACTGGACTTCTAAACACTGCTTCTTCCACTAAGATGAAGGACTTGATAAATAGTAGAAAATAGACCACAATATCAACAAAACAAAACCCTCAGGCCAAGATATAGGACATGAAAACACTAACTTTTCAAGTTTACAGATTTATGCTAACATTTCATGTAGATAAAAGTGTATAAACTGCTCTCAGTCTCAGGTATCCTTCTTGGCTAAAAGTCTACTAGGAACTCCAGGAAGCACCTCCCTAATGGTATAAGGTACATGCAACCCTAGGGAGAAAGCAAAGGTAGGCTTCCCAAGGAAGGTTTTCTGTTTGGCAATAAGAAATAACTCCCTCCTGTAGGCCCAATCACAGTTATAGAAGGGAAAAGCACCTCAAGCCTGAAGAGGCTGAGAAGGCCCCTCCTGTGCTGCTTCACAAGAGTGGGACTGCAGGGGATGCTGCAGGAGTTAACAAGGTGCCAGCCATTAAGAGGAAAAGGAGGAACAGATGATGGGGTCTAGACAATCTTTACTGAGTGATGTCCATGGCTAGACACTATTCTCAATATTTCATGTATCTTATAATTCTCAATATCTCACAGGTTATGAGATTTATTTAATTTTTACAACCTCATGCATAAGTACTAATATACCCAGATAAGGTAACTGAGGCCCAGGAAGGTGATGGACCCCTTCACAAGGTCACAAAGCTAGTCAAGAGCTGAAGGTGGACGGATGGACTGATCTAGCTAATTAATCTATCTATCTATCCATCATCCATCCATCCATCCATCCATCCATCCATCCATCCATCCATCCATTTATCTATCTATCTATCTATCTATCTATCTATCTATCTATCTATCTATCATCTATCTATCTATCTTTCTATCTATTTTATTTTCTGAAGGTGGATTTAACCAGTTGACTGCAGAGTCCAGTTGGGCTGTCTCTGTCAGCTGACTTCAGCCTAAGGGAGTAAGGCTATCAGTCTCTCAATTTAAAAAATGCACCCATTCCTGTCTATATTGCCTCTGTCCCTTTGGCAGAGGGGAGAGGAGGCTGAGCTATTTCAGTCTGATTTATCCCTGGGAATATTCATCATCCAAACTCAAGGACCTCTGGACTGACTGAAAAAAGATGGGAACGAATGGGTGGAGATGACACTGTGCTGTATACCTGTCTGCTGATGATTCTAACATCCTAGCAGGAAGTGAAAATGCTACAGAGTCAGGGTGAGGAGCCAAGATGAGAGAGCATGAAGGAACTTCAAAGAAAGTCACTCTGAAAAAAATCTGCTGCTGCTTCAAAACGAGATTAAATGACCTTAAATGTCGCGGCTGTTCACATAACTGTGACCTGTCTTTACAAATTCAAATTTGAGTGTAGTGGGGTTGGAAGCCACATCTGTCAAGATTTTGCCATCCTGGACTCTGCTTTTATTTTCTGCTCTCACCAGAGTCCCTTGCTCAAGATCCCCTCTTCCACTAAATCAGCATCAAAGAAAAGCAGGGCAAACAGGCTGAGGACACATGAGAAACAGCCAGTTTCCCCACCCTTCCCTCTCTTCTTCAGGAAATCTTGGATCTCCTGTATGTGCACTGGAGTGAAAGTCCATTTTGCTTTTTGCAAGGCTTCTTATGCAAACAAATCCAAGTCCTTTCATTTGACTTGTGGCTCCTAAAAAAACTAGAATTATAGGATAAGGAGGTGGCTATAGGGAATGGAAAGCTGTATTGGTTTCAAAAAATAGTCCTCTACTCCTTTCTCTAATCTGCAGAAACCATTTGAAGAATTTCCTTTGATGGAGGAACCCCTGGGATAAGAGAGCTAGGAAGAGGCTATGCCTCAGGTGGTTGTCTGGATACTTACTTTGTATAAGGTAATACACAAGGACATAGCCCCCACTAGCCATCACACTGGTATAAAGGGCCAGTTTCCCCAGAGGCATTGGCATCCTGCTTCCTGGAAACTTAAAAACAAAAGACGTAAATGTATTGTTAGATTCAGGTTTATGTGAAGAGCTTTTACTTGGATTGGGCCACAAAGGGAAAGGAAAGCTAGGGAGGAAGCTAGCAAGGAGGTGAGGCTACCTTCCCTCTTTTGCTTCCTTTCAGAATTCCAAGGCTGGTTCTGGAGTCAAAGCAAAAGTGCCCTTCTGAAGGTGGCCCACGTCCAGGACCCAGGCCATGGGGCTGATGGCTGAGCACAGAGCAAGCATTCAGCCCGGCTGTCCTGACAGACAGAATCCAGCCTGTGTGTCAAGTCCTACATTGCCAGGAAGCACAGCCACTTTGTGTCATGCTAGTTGGTAAACAGGAAGCTTATCCTTTTGTGGCATAGCTTGTCTTGTGAGGCTTTGAATGGGCCCGAGCAGTCACTGGCTGCTTTCTTTTATATTTAGAAAAATGTCCTACTCCCTAAATGAGAAAACCGTGGTCATGACTTTCAGGCTGAATGAAGAGAGAGAGAGGAGACAGTTCAGGAAATTCAGAGAACCATACCTACCCCCACCTTAACTCCTGTCCCCTAAAGCTCAGGGCCAGCCTAGGAGCAACATGTAGACCTTGATGTAGCCAATTATCCACCTTTCTGAAAGTCACTTAATCACTGCTCACACTGGGTCTTGATCTTTTTGGAAAGTTGTAAAATACCTGACCACAAAACAGAGTAGGACACTGGCTTACATCTAGAACACTAGTTTACATCAGGGGTCACAATTCAAATGCTCACAGGGCTAGAAAAGTCACATTAATGATAGGAGATCCTGAAAGGTGAAGAACACAGAACCTAGTCAAGGGGCAGCTTCAACCCCAGTCTAGCTAACTATGGTCATGTGGGCCAAGTCTGGATGAATCTTCTAATTTTAAAGAGGTCTTTTACATGAAATTGCCTGAGTTCTAAATTTTGAAAACCAATAGTAATTTTTAAAAACTAATGATATACATGTGTGAGCCAGATTATTGCTGTAGGCTCCAGTTTGCTGCACTGTGACCATTTAAGCTGCATTAGGTCATACTCACCCTAGGTGAGAAAAATTCCTCTTTGTCTTCACTGACATTTCTCCAAAAAGAAATGAGATTTTGAGCAGAGATGGAAATCCAGATTTAGATAAAGAAAAGATGACCATAAAGTATTTTTGTCCTCATTTGAGCATTTACCTTAGATTTTATGAACTTCTTTAGAAAATAAAGCCTTTGATGTGAACCAATGTGGTCTGAGGCTTTACAGTGTAGAAGAAATAGATATAATGCTAGTTCTTCTATAATCCCACTGGCTGGATCTGTGAATTAAGGCAAACACATTCTCATTGTCTGCTTCTCTGCCTTCTAGAATATAGAGAGTAATAACTGTGTACTTGCTATTTCTGAAACCTGAAGGTAAATGAATCCATAAGAAGGCTTGTTGGAGAAAGTTTGTTCATCATGTAAATATTCCTTCTGGGAACTAATAATTAAACACATCCTTGGACAGGGCTAAAGTTGACCAGTTCTATACAGAAATAACCTTGAATTTCCAAGTTTATGTATATAAAAGGTTTTGATCAACTAATAAAATTAGGCAAGGTGTAGTTTTAGATCATCCATGTATTATTTGCTTATATACTGTTTTGTTCAATTAAGAAAGGGTGGCTGAAATTCCAAATTAATATACTGCAACTGCTTTGAGAGTTTTAGCTGGTGCTGCTAAAACTCTCAAAGCAGTTGCAGTATATTAAATATTTGAAAGAATATTTACCAAAGTTGAGTGTAAAGTTGATTAAAGTAATATGATCTGGGAAAAGCCATTTAGTTTAATAATGAAAATGGTCAGAGCATCTCCAAAGACAGTATTAGTCAGATCTTGCTTAATTGGAAGGAGAGCTCAACAGGGTGGGGCAGTGAGCTTGAGTCCTACAGAGCTTCCTACAAGGTTGTAGCTTCTATAACCAGCATGAGAGACAAGTGAAAAGATGTCCTGAAACAATTCAGAGAACAGCTACCCTATCCTTCATGTGAAATCAGAGTCACAAGTGAATACTAATGACCAGGAGAAACCCACAGCTATTCAGGGCGTGACTTACATCTATTGTCTAACTTGAGGGTACCCTGGAGAATTCCAATGGGGATCATTCATTAATTACCTTTTGCCACTTTGTAGCACAGCTTTCTTGAAAATATTCAAAGAAAAGTTGTCCTGCAATTAGATAAAGATTTTACATTAAAATTGTTTTCAAACCCAATTTTCTCTGGTGTCTAGTTTTGTAAAGCCAAAATTTATTACCAACCCAAGCTTTAGAACATGAACAAGAAGTTAAGTTAAACTCTAAAACAAGCCTTGTCTGTAAAATGGTCCTAGTTTTCCACCTTTCTCTTCTGCCCTATAAGGAAAAGAAAAAAAAAAAAAAAATCCCCAAAAACATGCTGCTTTCCTGTCTTTGTATCTTGTACTGCAGCAATCAGAAAACTGGTGTGGTCGGGGAGGGCATGCAGGAGCAGGTGTGTAACTGCAGTGCACACAAGCATAGGCCCAGTCAGCAGCCAACTGAAATAGGATGCTATCAATATAAGCTGTATGCCATAGATTAAAAACAGCTTTTCAGGATTAAAAAGAAATAAATGTATACATAGCCTTTAATAATATTGATAATAACACTAAACATTTATATCTCTTACTATTAGGTGCCTGGTATTATTCTAAACACTGTACATACATAATTCATATAATTTTCACAACAAACCATGACATAGGAACTATTGCTGTCATCTCCGTTTTATAGATGAGTAAACTGAGGCACAGAGAGGTTAAGTAACATGCTTGAAGTCACACAAATAAGTGTCTAAGTGGTAGAACTGGGATTCAGACCTAGGCAGTCTATCTCCAGGGTCTGTGCTCTCAACCACCATGATACACTGACTGTAAGATACCTGCTGATTTCAGAAACATTAAAATGTAGGGGTAAATGTGTCTCCGAATTACAATATATTCATAATGTTCAGTGCAAAAGGCCTTGTCAAGTATGCCTTCCCTGCTATTTTTCCAGATAAGAACGTGGCATATATTTGTACTCTGTTCTTTCTTTTCCTTAGTAAATGACTGCTGAGGGCCTGCTCTGGTCAGACAAACCGTGCTGAGGGAAATCCACATAATTCACAATAATTACGACACAGATAGGGTCATCAAGTAGCACTGTGCAACTGGGCACAGCATAACCCTAGCAGGGCGCCACTCACAGGGTAAACAACCTAGACATTAATATGGTTTTTCAACAGTTAGAAGTGTCTTGAAGAAGGGGTAGACACCTTTTCTGATTTGCACAAAGGCGCCTATGGGTGAGCAGCAGCCTGATTAGTGTGTCCAGAGGTGTGTACCAGGAGTGGAAGCAACACCTAGGAAGTAGTTGGCCTTGTCTGCAGGGAACTAGCAAAGGTTTCACAAAGGAAACTGATTCTAAGCAGAGAAAGGTGAAGGAGTGGGAGAAGGGCTTCAGATCAGTAGAAATGGCAAGCAATAGCAAAGTGGCAGAAACAAGAGCCACAGAACTGCTATGAAAGGCTATCTAGCCTGAGATGCTGAACTCTACTTTGCAAACAGGAGAAGAAACAGCACAGCAGGACCAGCAGGAGGGTTTTGTGACATATTAGCAAAGGCAAGAGCTAAGACCAATGTAGTAAGAGTGGATCAAAAGGACGGTTTCCTAAAATACTTAGAATTGTTGTCATTTGCTAATTTGTACACCAGCTTATTCATAAAAGGATGATAGCTTAACAAGGTTACATACATTAGAAAAATAAGTAAATAAATGGATGAGGAAATAAATACAAATGGAAAATAATTTTAAGAAGAGAAATACACCATGGGTAAAGTTAGTGTACAAAATTAAACACTCTCATGCACTAGACATTTCTTCAAGGTGGCCAAAGATTTGATACTTTCTTCTCTGCTCAGCAGAAGGAGAAGGCTGAGCAGCTTACAAAGTCCACAGTATCCACTGGGTTAAATATGAATCAGCAGAAGAGGAAGAATACAACATTTCCTAGTAATACCCCAAGCCTGAGAAAGATCTTTTATGCATGTTTAAAAAGGGATTCGCTCAAGCAGCTGGTGTTGCAAATATCTCCAGTATTTTTTTCAAATGATTATTTTTTTATAACACCCCATAATGAAAGCCACAAGCACAATCCAAGAGAAAAACAATAAACAGAATTTTACAAGCGGCCAAAACAGTGGAGACTTAGTGGGAAGTGCTGATAAGCTACCTGATCCAATGGAGACATGAGAAGTCATGATCCACCTGGTCTCCATGGAGCTGTTCATGTGCAAAGTGGGTTGACAAGTTTAGGACTGGGAGGCAACAAAGGGGACTCAGTCTTTGTCCCTCTTTAACCAGCTTCAGCTTACCTGCCCCATCAGCTGTCTTTTGAAAAGTCTTCAGCAGCCTCCCAACCTCATGAAAAAAAAAATTCAAAAAGGCACTGTAGAGTACTAGAGATAGATTTTAGGTTACCTCGAGGAAGGCTACATTTTAGAACTAAGCTTTTGATAAAAATTAAAAATTTTTAAATTGATGTGAAAAGCTACAAGAAGTTCAAATTCAATTAGTTTACTATACTGTAAATTAAGGGAAGATTTTTTTTTTGCTTTACAGTTAACCAAGAGGTTAACCAAATAGGTTATAACCAAAAGATTATAACCCATTCTGAAAATTAAGGGGCTGGTTTATTAGCTGCAGGAAGGTTTAAAAAAGTATATAGAACTTGCCTTACAGAAAGCTGTACTAGTAGCTCTGCTCTGACACACAAAGGGTGACTTAGGCCCCCAAAGGCCAATGGTTTATAAACTTTTTCAAAGTATAGAATCCTTTTTTAGAGCCAATGCACAATCTGTCAAACAGATGCCAGTAGATCTGCTCCAGCTTGCACAGGGTTGGAGGTCTCTCCTGTTTGTGTCCTCAGGAGCTCCTGATGAAGGAGGTTTGCACTTGGGGGATAAAAAGAAGCAGCCAGAGGGTTTGAATCACAGGCAGAATCCAACCAGGGCAGGGTGGAAGCAGTCCTGCAGTACAAACTCAACCTTAGCTGCACATCGGAATCACCTGAAAAGTTTGAAAAATAATAACAATAAAACAAATGTGCAGGCCACACCCCAGATTCATTAAAATAGAATAGGAGGGGGGAGTGGGTGGGATCTAGGCATTGATGTTTTTTAGCCTCCTCAGGTGATCCTCATATGCAGCCGATCTTAGAAACCAGTAATCTATATGAACAAAGCACAGAAAAGGCTGGGCATGTGATTCCTTAAGTGATCTGGAAAGTTAGAGAACAGAAACAACTATTTCTCTATCTATGCCACACATACCACCTATCTCCACCATATCTTGAAAGATTTAGAGCCTGTGGCAATAAATGAAATAGACATCTTCCCAGGGATTCTAACACTAGACAAGAGGCAGACCACCCTAGGGGGGCAGGTCAGATGGTGGGAGCCTCAAGTAGAGATTTGCCATTCCCCGAGATAAAATCCCTGAGTTTAATAAGAGGTGAACTCAAGAGATCCACAGAGAAGAACCATCCATCTCTTCCACCATGAATCATGAGAGATAATAAAATGGTTCTAGTTTGGTGCCATTAAGTTTTGAGATGGTTTCTGAATTCAGCAATAGAAAACCACAACATCTGTAAAAGCTTTTCTGAAAGGATTAAAAAAGTTTTCTTCAAATATATGTCACTTTTAAGAGCAACAATTTAAAAACTAATGAAGGGTTTAAAAACAGGAGACCGGGCATATTCAAATAAAAGCAAAGCAGAGTGAAAATATTCAGAGTAGAATTCAAGGCAAAATACATTTAATTGGGACAAAGATACACAAAAAAAATACAAGTTACAAATGTTAGTAGCAAACACCATAACACTAAAATACATAAAGCTAAAAACTACTAAAGGAAAAAACTGAAAACTAAAGTAGGAGCTGGTCAAGATGAGAGTAGGTAAACACTATGCTTGCATCCTCTCACAACCACATCAAAATTACAACTAAACTACAGAACAACCATCATTTTGAATCACCTGAATTTTAGCTGAACAGAAGTCCTATAGCTAAGGACATACAAAAGAAGCCACGTCAAGACTGTAGGAGGGATAGAGACATGTAAAGGGCTTGTCCTCATATCCACTAGTGGCAGTTAAAAATCAGAAGGATATCTCAGCTGTAGCAGTCCCCCATATAGAGCAAGGTGTCTAAGCCCCACACAAAGCTCCCCAGCCAAGGGTTCCAGTGGCAGAAAGAGAAGTCCCCATAACTTCTGGCTAGGAAAACCAGCAAAGATTGTGACTGAGACAGAAAAAGCCTGGAGATCATGGCATTCCTTTTAAAGGGCCCTCACACAAACTTACTTATTGGCCAACTTGTTTGCCCTGAGCTCCAATACTGGGGCAGCTGATCGAAGGGCGCCAGAGACATACAGGGAAGAAATGAGTCATCTGGCTTCAGAGCAAGGCCTGGAGCAGCAGCTTTCTCCAGCTGGTAGAAGCCATTCCTTTATTGAGCCCTCATCCCTCCCAGTGTGCAGGCAGCTGCCATATATGAGTTTCCATCAACCTGGCTAAAACTGTTTGCCCCACCCTGGTGATTCCGAAACCCACCCCACCCGACTTGCGGGCCCAGCCAAGCCCTTCCAGTGGCTTTTCCATACAATAGCCTGTCGTGGCTCATGCTGAAAACGTTCTTAAAATCTCTTAAAGGTTCACACACCCCAAAAAAGCAGCATCTGGCCTCCGTATGCCCCGTACCTCTTGCTAAGCAGCTTACAGCTTAATCTCTCTCAGGCACCTCCAAGCCCAGTGCAGGTGGAAGACATCTTCAGATCACTTTGTGGTTCATGCCAGGTGGCCCCAAGCACAGGCAGTGGCTGAAATTGGCCTGTGGTGCAACCCCTCCCAGGAGACCCTAGGGCTAGTATACCTAGTGGTTGGCTTCTGACTGCATCAGAGCATCAACCAGCCACCTACAGAGACATTCAAAGGGCAGGCCAGAACACTACTAAAACAAATCCTACTATGTAAAGGCAGCCCTTGCAAACAGCTCTTTCATTGTAGTCAAGGCTAGTCCTCACAACCAGTCAACTTGAGAGTCAATCCCCCACATTGATGTGTAAACAGTAACCAAGGCTCAATTACAACAGGAAGGAAAACACAATT